ATTAGAAGAATTCTCAATCAGATATTGAGACACGAGAGCTCGCATTACCTTACGAAAACAGAATGATATTCTTTAAGTAACACGAGAAGAGCAAGATTTGTTTTCATGCTTATGCAAATTTATTTCAATAGATGTGTATGGCAAAACTATTTACTGAATCGGTGGCTATTGGGTTTCTCATCTTTTATTTCCATCGATTGAAAGGACACAAACATGGCTTTATAAAAGCTATAGTTACAAATTACTTTACGAAATCAAACGCTAGATGAAACATGAGCGAAAGAAAGTTGCATATGCAAAATTGTTTCGATAGTTAACCAACGGTGAAATCTACAAAATCGGCGGCTATTTTTACCTACATATAATCCATTTCTTAACGTTTTTCACTTGATAGTGCGATTTCATTTCGGTCAATATGTAGAAGAAACAATGTGGGAACATGAAAAAAAAAAAGACTTTGCTTCTCAATTCTAATTTTTTTTTTCTGTCGAGAATGTTCAGTTCGCATGGTATGATTGACAGATTGCTTCCTCTGCTTATATTTCATGCAAATTTTCAAGCATTGCGAGCTCTCCAGAGCGAGACTCGCTCTCGGCTCGCTTTACTCGCCAGTGGATAGCTTAATCACAAGCTAGTAATTTAATTTTACTTTGTTTTCTATTGGTGTCAGTCGAATATAATATTAGTATGAAACGTCAGTGTTCCGCAAGAACAATATTATTCGTATAATTGTTCGCAACGGTTTCTGTTAGTTATGTGCATGGCTTATCCCGCTGTTCTTTAGCCCTCCTGATCCGTTCAAGGTTTTTGTCCATCCGTTTAACTGAACGTTTAAGCTATAGATTAATAGATTCTGTTCAACCGTTTAACATTTTAAGCCATCAGTTTATTTTTTTTCTCGGCCATTTAATGGTTTACGGAATCCGTTTTTGGACTTTGCTCTACTGTTTAACGCTTTGGACTATCTGTTTAAATGGGTATGCAAACCGTTTTAACACTCTTACTACCCGTTTATTATCTGTTTACAAACCGTTTATTTTCAACCGTTTAACGAAAAAGCGTTAGTGTACGAAATCCTGTGCCCGCTCACAATTTTTAACCCACTAAGATTTACAATTGACCTGGAAGTTTTATTTAACAGAAAGTTCAATAGAGATAGAGTCACCATTATGGATTTCACGAACAATAATCAGATATCACTCAAACACAACAGAGTTCAATGTACAGGAAAGTGCATGATGGTATCATATGACTAAACTACCAGAATCTTTCAAGTTCTTAGTATTGTTATTTCATGCCAGTTTGTTTCCCAAATTCAAGCTATTTTGAGACATGAAATGAATAGATGAACTTGACATCATCATGTAAATGGTCAAGTTGACATGCTTGTCAATTTGTCCTTCAGCTGAAATCTTACACAGGAATGCTGTTTTGTTAGTGTTTATCAACATACATAAAAATATCCATTCCCAGCTTCTGTTTCTTTTGGTCAGCTACTATATGTGACAACCTACTTTGTGTAAATCTAATTGGTTTCTAGTGTGATTTATTGTTGCTGAGCCTACCAGTAGTTTACATTTGTACTTGAGTTATTACTGTTTTGCATTAATGATAGATGAAAAAGGCACGGGTCATTCCACAGTATTTTGGACAAAAAATATCAAAAATCAAAATTGTTTGTTTCACTCAATTTCTTGACAAATTGAAAATATACTAGTTATAATATATGAAAACAAAAAACTTTGTTTGTTGTCAGTTGTTGTGTATGCAGAAATTATCATAAATTACCATATAAAGTGAAAATAGCTGTTGCGGAGGGGAAAGTTAAATCGGTTGCTGATAACAAACTATTAACAAGAATTTTGCTGAGCTGGTATGAGACAAAAACTACTCAATGCAAAGTTACTTTAGTATTGACCAACATTGATATTTTACGTATGATGCACGATCCTTCGCAGTAGATAGCGCTATTCATGCAATAGCGCTATCTACTGCGAAGGATCGTGCATCATACGTATTTAATACCGTAGTTCAAAATTTATGAACCTCATTGATATTTTAACCCTTACGACAGCAGCAGACAATGTCAGGAATGCTGTTTTCTCCTACGCAACATTTTGAGGCCTAATAGTTTTATTTTGGGGGTAGCAAATAATCAAATCAACTTCTTTTCATATCTTCTAATTTTTGACCCAGTCTTAATTTTATTATGTTCTAATGGATTTCACATTTTTAGCTCAATCTGATAAAGGATGATTAGTTTCTGTTGCGGAGGGGAAATTTTGTTGCGTAGGGGAATTCTGTTATGAGTTTGTACTCAAACAATACATTGTGGGATAGCTAAAACCATGTGCTCAAAATTCAATATGGCTTCCTTGCTGAGTTGAGAAGCATTGAATTTTAAAAAATGCCTTCTAACACTGAAAGAAGTAGAAAGTTCAGAAAGAAAGTGAGAAGTGACCCTATTAAAATTGAATAGTACAAGAAAAGAGACAGGGAAAGAAAAAGAAAGAAGTATGCTGACAACAAAGCAACCATGACTGAAAGTGAAAAATCCAAGCAGAGAGAAAGAGAAAGATTAAAGAAAAGAAAACAAGTAGCACAAAAACGGCAGAAGAATTTGGGAAANACCAACAGTATGGGCTTTAAACAAAGATGAAAATGACAGCAAAGAAGAAGATCAAGAGGAGGGAAATCACCAACATGTCAGTGGTAACGGTAATGATGACAGTGACTGCTTTGTCACAGATGATGATGATGACAACATTGATGAAAACAACAGTGTAAATGAGCCCAATGAAGAGCAGGACCAAATGAATGTACATATTCGACATGGATTACCACCAGAGACGTTTACAAATAGTTGCATGTTTGCAAATTCCTTAGCATTTCAGTTACCTCCTTTTCTGACACCAATGATTGATTGCATTGCAACTGGCAGGCTTGTTTTTGGAGGAAGTCACCTTGTTGACAAAGATGACCTGAAGGGTTTATAAGGGCATGGCAAAACAGCACAAGAAAAGTGGCTATCAAACTTTGTAATTGACAGGTACTTAGAACTTGGTCAATCAAGCAAGTGCAACTACAGAAATGGAAGTGATCACATGGGAGAAGTTTGAAAAAGGGGTTGGAGCATTCCCTGTCCAACAAGTTTTGAAGGCACTTAAACCTATTCTCAACCAGGATATATTTGTTGTTCCATGCAACACTAATAACAGCCACCACTGGTTCCTTTTGGCAGTTCAGCCACCACTACAGTGTGTACTGGCTCTAGATAGCATGCCAGGTAGCTTCATCAAGCCAACAGTTTATAAAGCTATTGAGAAGGTCATTCAGTTAATGAAAGAAATTGATGGCAACCTCAAGATTGAAGAGTGGTCGTTTTATGCCAACAAGCCTGGAGACATCCCAAGCCAAATAAATGACTATGACTGTGGTGTCTTTTCATGCATGTATGCCAGAAGTCTTGTCAATTTGAGCCCTATGATTTCCCTAACTGTTCACAGCATTTCTGATCTAAGAAGCTACATGATCCTTGAACTGCACAGAAATGCTGTTACCAATTCCTCCACTAAGCATGAAAGTGGATGAATATTATGCAGTTGACTATGTTAGCCATTACTATTTTGGCAGAATTCTGAGCATTCAAGGCGATTTCATCTGATTCAAGTTTCTACATCCTATTCGGCATGGTGCAAATGCCACTGACAGCTTCGATTGGCCTACAAGAGATGATGTTGATAATGTTCATAAGAATTGTGTGTTTTATGGGCCTGTCCAGTTAGTGGGCAATACTCCTTTCACAGTCTTGGAGCATGAGCATGTTAAGAAAGTTTTCCTTTATCTCCAGAAGAACTAATGTATATGTTGTAGTTCAATTTTATCCTTGGTTCAAATTTCATTTCCTTTGTTCTCGGTCATGTTAATGTATGATAATGAGTTTGAAACAAAGGAAAATAAAATTTGAACCAAGGATAAAATTGAACTACAACATATATTCTATGTCATATTCAACACTTCTGAAAAAATTGTGTTGGTCATTTGAAAGGTAAACTTTTGCAAAGATAATGACAGCAGTTTTTTTTTTTCTGATTACTTTTTACCTTAATTTACAATATCTGTAGGTGTTGTTATGATTTGTTGATAAACATTGACAGTTTTGCCATATGTGGGTACACCTTGCATTTTCGTACCTGTCTTAAGAAAAGAGGAATTCATACAAACTACACGTTAACAGTGTAACAAGTTACAAGAAAGGTTACTGTAAAGGTTGGGGAGCTTAAAATACAGTTGTATTTTTATAAAGCCAATGTAAAGTTGTTAAAGTTCATATATTAAAATACGGCCTTTATAATTAGGTTTCCGTGGCTTGTTTTACAAATACTGAAGTGTAGACAAATTTTCTCCTCCGCAACTTCCCCTCTGCAACAGTGGATGATGGTCTTGGATCCTGCCTCACTGAAAAAGTGCTGTACATTTAAGTTTCCTTTTATGATTCTTGTAATTAACATAAGTTGATAAAATGGAAAAACCATTGAGCTTAGGATAGCATTCCAGAATTCAGAGAAAATACAGAATGAAATAAAAAAAACTTTTAAGATGGTATTTTCTGTTCCCCTCCACAACAGCCCTGTTTTGATGGTCTGCTATCTAAATAATGCATTTAAGAGGAAAGCATGGCACTAGAAATGATAGCTCCCTTAAAGACATAAAAACTCCCTAAATATGCAGAAGTAAATGTAAAAATCTTATTACACTACAACATGATTAGTGTCTCTGAATTTCCCTTCCACAACAGACGGAATACTGTGGAATGGACCGCACCTAGCTTTTTCAGCCAGTCAAGAGTGTAATTTTTTATGTATATCAGTATTCTGATGAATTAACCAAAACCAAAACCAAACAAGTAACCGAAAAAGAGCTGTAGTCTACCAAATAAAGGCCTAGTACACATGTATTGCTACCAAGGTTAAATATCAATGCTCATCTGAACCATTATGAAGAGAATCTAGAAGACTGCCAAGCTTACAGAAAGTCATGAAATGTTGAGGTCTGAATAATTCTGAGCATTACTTGGAAAACATAATACTAATCACATTTCAGTTGTAACATTAAACTACTAGGCTCCTTATATAAGCAATGGAATAGAGGCTTTGCAGAAAATCATTCATGAAAACCAAAACATCACATCATTCCACATTTTGTGTTGTCCAACTATTTGTTTCAATACTGGCAAGTAAAATACATTAACTAGAACATCATAAGCATCAAACTTCAAAAATGATCCTTAAAACATGATAAATTATCCTTCGTTTTCATGAAATTGTAATGAGAGCCAATCCTTGACTGGTACAGTAAACACCAGGAAATAAGAACCTTATTTTTTGGCAGTCTGGCAAAAAGGTTCTTGTTTAAAGGGGTAGTTGTTGGTAATTTTGGTAATTTTGGCAAAACAGGTTCTTAATTAGGTTCTTAATTGCTAAGAGGGGGATACAGTTGTCATTGATTTGCATATATATGATAAGAATAATAAATAAGCTTTATACGGGCTAAAATTATATATAATACTGTATAACTGTAACTTTCAACTACTGTAACAAGTAAATAATCAACTCAACAATATATTGGGCATTTTGTGTAAATTATCTTCAATTTTTTTTACACACACCAATAAATTGTGTCAGTAACTTGTGCATGGTTTGTTTATCCTGTAATTTAGCTGTAACCCATATTAACCTGCTTGATCATGTCTGGCTAAACAGGTTCTTTTTTAAAGGGGGGTATTAAAATGGCAAGAGGTTCTTAATTCCCTAAGTTCTTATTTTCGAGTGTTTACTGTATTGTTCAATCGAGACTCCCATTCTTACTTGTGTCATTCTGAAATATGCCTCCATGAATGGTCCTTTTTACAGTTGTGTGCTTGGTTGCCAAGCCTTTGAACGGGAGTGAGGCTAGGGGTGACCTTGTTATGATACAAACCTCGCTGCCTTTCAAATGTAAATCACTTTGTTATCATGCTAACTAGATACAGGTCTCTATCACAACAAGGTCACCTTCAGCCTCACTCCAAATCAAAGGCTTGGCAACTAAGTACACAACTGTAAAATGGCCTACT